AATTATTTATGATTTTAACTTTATACACAAGTGTCAAAATACTATAAATACCCATTTAGTGTTTCAAAACTAATACGTTGAAGTAAAAAACAAAACAAAAAATGCACAGATGTATTTTCTGACAACATGAATTCGTTTCTGAGTTTAAATCTTTTTACTGTTATTTCTTAAGAGTCAGAAATTAATGCATATCTCATTCACGAGCAGTTTTCCATCGATTCACAATGGGCACGAAAAACTGAAAACGAGACATCCAAAGTTTCTTCTCAGAATTAGATAACACTCTTGATTGACACTAGGGCGATTAATAAACCACCCAAAAACGAACCTTATATACAATAATTTACTCCAAACTTTGAAGTTGGAAAAACAACTTCGGCAAGAAACGCACAAAAACCCATAGCTATTGGTTAAAACAAGTTTGCACACATAAGAATTGATCTTAATATTCACTAAAATGATTGTTGTTGTTAAGCAGAAACCTATACAATGGGCTAATTGTGCTTTGCCTCTCACGGGTATCAAAACCCAGTTTTCAACTATCCGCTGTGCCGTGGGGTGGGGACTAAAATGAACTCACAAAAAAAGAGCCACATCCTAAGAATATTCCGAGGATTCGAAATTTTTATTAAAAAAATAAACATCTAATTATCGGTATGTATACACGCCCCTGTTTTCCTGAAACCGAGGTTTCTAAGGACTAACTAGTTTATCAAAAATACTTCTGCAGCGTTGTTCGTGGGCCAACCACAATCACCGGTACATGATAACGCAAGACTTCTTTGAACAAGGGTGACAAATGGTCGTGATTCATCTCTAAATTAAGCGTTGCGTACTAATTTATTAACAACATGATTCACCTTAGAAAAGTAAAGAAGACATGCAAAGACTTAAGATTCTTCATCAAAATTGTTAGAACTTAATTAAGTGTAATTACCAGGTTAGGTATCAAAACAATGAATTGATTTTTTTATTCTGTTGCGTCAAATTGCAAACTTCTGTCGCATGTGACATGACAGGTTTTTTTTTTTTTATTATATAATATGGATGAACATCAACCAAAAGCGTCCTTTCCTTTACATTAACATTAATATTTCATTTTCGGTAGCTGGGGGGTTTTGTGTGTGTGTGACAGCTTCTTCCAAATTCACGGCGAATATTAGGAAAAAAATAATGTCAAACTACCATTTATTTTACTTTCAACATGACGTAGTTTGACTTCTACAAAATCTATAGAATTATAAATAACATTTAGTCAAGTACACACGAGGCTTAAAGAACTAGTCGTGATAACGTGGATAACAAAACTATTTTATGTTCTTAAAAAAACAAAATCCGTCAAGTTGTGCGTTAAGTATCACATACAAATGATATCATCCACACAAAAAATCAAAATAATAAAAATAAAATTTACTTCAAAAATGTCAGAAAAATTTTAGCTAAGTTCTTTGCGAACTTAAACGCACGTTTATAAATAAGTTATCTACAACCATCAGATTACCTCAAAAGAAAATTACGTTAGTGTTTGCGTTATTCTTCACTCCACACAAGTAACTGATATTTGTATAGATACTTTTAGAGATAAAAATGAATAAAACTCCTATAACCTGAGCGCTTTCGAAAGCGCCCGGGTTATAGGGTTTTTATTCATTTCTATCAAGACTTCTTGAACCTACTACGTGTTTTTCTGACATCGTGAATACTTTTAGAGATATGTAGTATCACTTGGTTCTAATTATGTATTCTATGGACAAGCTGTGATAAGATAGCGTTTTCCAAAACCAAAAGTTAGAATTTTGACACGACAAGAAGGTTAAGACAAGTTAGAATTTCCGTCTCTCATCGGTAACCCCTGATGAAGAAGACCAGTGCTCTTGCACTGATGAATTATAATTCATCGTGTACTGTGCTTTTTTTTTCGTTCTTCGATGTTTCCCCCCTTTTTCAGGCAAGATGCGAAATCCTATGAAACTGGTTTAACTCGGTGACAAGTAGCGATTCCAACAACAGAAATTCTCAATAAAAAACAACGTAGTACAGATTTCGAAATAATTTTGAAAGATTAAATTAGTATTTAAATGCTACAGATTCTTCAGAATACTGTACCTATATCAACACACACTGGTTACTTATGATGGAGCAATGGGCAATCCAAATATCATACACATTAATTACAAGTCACTACAAGTCTGGGCTCGTTTACGAACTGTTTCTGTGCTAGATTACCGTTAAGAACTTCCCGAAACCGGTCTAATTCGGTGACAAAAGTGACGCAACCGAGAATAAGCTGGGTCTCGTTTTTTTTAATTGATGAAATGTTAAATTTTGATGTTTGGGAGGGGGGGTGGCTTTAGACATGCATATTTACAATTTTCGAGTTCGAAACAGAAATATGGCGACGCTGGCAAGTAAGTGTCTTACGAATATCAATCACATCAGAATTATTTCATAAACAGACAAAACCAGCATCTGCCGATTCGAAAATGAATATTAAGGCACATTATCATATGCTTGTTTAAAAATGGTTTATATACCGGAGAATTTAAAAAACACCCCACGAAACGTGGGCTATAATATATGCTGCATCGTAAATATGAATACCTTCTCCAGGGTTCTTACACGTCTTCGAATCCTTGAAACTTCTACAACTCAATAACATCTATTATGGTCATTGGAATGTTCTCCACTTTTAAAACTTCATTATATCTATGCGTGCACATAAACACAACAATAAGTTGGTTACAAAAAATCCAAATATTATGGTGATACACCAAAGTTATCAAAAAAATGTGAAATTAAAAAAAAATAAGGTAATAAAAGAAGGTAATATTGGTTCCTTTGCTAAGCCGATAATTTCATAAAGTTTGTTACAAAATCCCCCTGGGATACTGATACTCATAATTCGAATACTTCATTCGTGAGAAGTTGAATTAATATTTTGCTAAAGTTATCAGACTTACAAGCAATATATTTGGCATAGCAGCGATAATGAGTATAAAAAATATAAAAAAGGTAACTAAAAGGAGCAAGTCTAAAGCTGGTCTCTAACTTTACGAACACTACAAATAGCGAATTTCTTTCATTCCTCATCACAAAAACTATAAATGAAATGAGCTATAACTAGGCCTCTTCTGCAGGAGCGTAAATATACTGACGTATTTCATTTCTTCGCAACATGTAATAGTTGTAGTACTTCCTTGTCGTATTTTTCTTCCTTTTTAAATAAGGAAGGTTAATATATTTAGCGCAAAAATAAATTATTATTATTATTATTGAGTAAGAACAGGGGCTTTAGAAAAACTACAAGGCAGTAACGAAACACACCATTAACGATTACGCAAGAAAAAAAAACACAATTATGTAGTATCAGGCTATCAAATTCTAAGTGTAACTTAATTTCTGCCAAAAACAAGAGGTGGGAAATAATAAATAAATATATATATATGTATATACACATTACCTTTCGAGATCTTTAAATACAAATTTTCGAAGCTTAAGATCACGTAAAACCACGCCGGAATCGTGACATGCCTGAACAGCTTGAACGA